AAAGACTTCAGAATATACCCCATTTAAGTCTGAAAAGGTGAGCAGGAATTGTCAGAGAGACAATGGCAGACTTCCCCAGGCAGAGGGCAGCAGGAGTAGAGACAGGGTGTGGCCAGAAAAGCTGGCAAGGCTCAGTCAGGGAAGGGAGGACCCCTGGTTGGGTAGGTGGGAGGGTGGGTTTTAGGAGGGATAGTGGCAGGAGCCAGAGGCAGAGAGGTCGGCAGGAGCTGTAAGCCTTGGTGAAGGGGAGTGTTGGAGGAGTTTTAATTGGGAGGAAATGACTAGATTTGCCTTCAAATTCACAAAACTTTTATATGGCCTTAGAAAGGTAATACTAACTGGGACCCTGTTTTACCCTTCTGTGAGTCCATTTTTTTTCCAAACTTTTATATAAAAGGCAAAAGATAATTTTTTAAAACAAATGTGATTTGATTTGCATATGGGCATTTAAAAAGCATTCTTTTTGTTAACTAATTTTTTTTTTTAAACCAGAAAACCATGAAAGTGGTTACGGTTAGCATGTATTTATTCTCATGGGAGCACACAACAGCTACTGTGTAATGTGTACAAGTAGCATTTATGTGGTAACTCTATGTGGTAACCCATAAAGGCACTATGTGTTGGCTTTATCGGTTAGTTCAATAGCATGGCTTGGTGCCCTCTGGAACTGAGCCATCTCACGTCCCCCTACTGGGTATTGAAGATCACAGTACTGACTTTATCTCGTAAATGTACAGGAGGCATCCAGTCAGCCAAGGAAAAGTTCAGAGTGTATGATTAGGGCAGAATTGCTGCAACAAAGGGGCTAGAATCACCTAGAGTTTGTAGAGAAAAACAAGAAAGAAACTGCTCATAGAACTCAGCACACTACCTGAGGAGCCACAGAAAGTCATGCAGCACTGTGAATACCCTGGCACCTTTTCCCTTTATAAAGTGTATTACTGGAAGTGCAATGACAGTGTCAGCTACAGGGAGGTGGCAGAAAATGTGCTAAAGACGGCAAAGTAAGACACAGGAGCACAATTAGAGCAAAGTTAGAAGGAACCAAGTACATTTATCAGTGACAAGGAACAAAGGAATATGAACTGGAAAGATTTACATAACAACAATTTGGATCAAGTAGTTGTGCTTATGTAAATATACAAATAAATATATACTCATATTTAAATATATTTTCCACAATGCTCTTACGTGTCAGTGTTCTCATAATGATTAAGAACTAGAGGCCGTAACACATATTGACTTGGGTTTGGTTCCCAATTTTCTCATTTTCTAGCTTTTTATTTGTTCACCTTCCAAGCTTTTTATCCTGGAAAACTTCTCTTCTCTGTATTAAGTGGCCTTAAGTGCTATCATAAGTCCAAAGATCTGGGAGCTAAAAACAAGTGAAGAATATTCTTATAATCATTAATATTCCAGATGAATCTGAAATGAATCTACTGAGACATACTGCATGTCTCTGTAAATGTATTCCTCATGTACCAACTATCAATCTGGGGAAATTCCGTGTGTGTGTGTGTGTGTGTATGTGTGTGCATAAAATGCTCCCCCTACAATCACACATCAACGGAGGTATACTTCACTCGGATGCTCCACTAATTTTAAGTGGTAAATGGAACCTTTCAGGAGCCATATTCCTTTTCCATCAGAATCCTGCAATTCAGCCCCTAAAATCAGGATGCTGGGGTGAAATGTGTAGTCCTCAAATGCAATGTATGCGCTGAAGTGGTGTTAAGTGTAGCTCTGGGCCAGGATGAGAAGATTCATATACTCTGTATCTAATATGATCCTTACCACAGCACAACCAGAGCTAATAAAATGAATGAAGCTCTGCTGAGCCCTACATTGCACCAGGAAGGATGGATGGGGCTTGACTTCATATATTTTATTCATTTTCTGGTAGATTCAAGGGAAGAAGGACTCAAAATAGAGAAAGAGACCTATGACTATTCAGGATGTGCTGAAAGGCTCCAGGCCCTCAAAAACATTGCCCTGGCTGTGCTGCCCCGACGTGATGCACTAGGTAAGAGGTGAGCCACTCGGTCTCACCTTTCAGGAGCCTCAGCCCACCTTCCTGTGAGTTATCTTTAACAAACCAATGCTCCTCTGAGAGGGCAGCATTGATAGATAGGCGCACTTACTATCGAAAGTAAACTCAGATACAAAGATTGGTCTTGGGTTTGCAGAGGAGTGAGCAAATCCAAAAAGGACGTCAGAAGCACGTAAAAGGGCTTCGGTGCTTTTCATGGACACAGGCGAGTGACTGCGTCAAGAGGCAGCCTGAGGAATCTTTAGTAACCCCAAACACCCATAAACCTATCCTACTCCCTCAAATCCACCCAAATAAGCATACACATTTACTCAGTGGTTTCAGCTCTGGTCACAAGTCAGCATTACCTAAGGCTTTAAAAGATAACAGCCAATTAAAGCAGGATATCTGGTCATGGGGTGGGCATAGGTTTCTGGCTTATTTTTTAAGTTCCTGGAGCTACCCCAATGTCCAGCCAGACTGAGACCCACTGTTATCAGTGAAAAAGATGTCTATACACTGAAGACACAACTTTCAGGCAATTCTTCTTGATCTGTCTTCCAAAGAGACCACTACTCCTGTCCTCCAGCAATACAGACATCTTACAGCTAGTAATTCCATGAGCCACCTTCTTCTCTAACATCAGAGCTTAGCTTATTAGAATTAGTGTAGATGTTGGCAAACCCCAGTCTCTTCATTCCAGGCAAATACGGCCCTTTACAGGAAAATGTTTGCCAAGCCTTGAAGGAAGCCTAAAAGTAAGTGGCAAATACCCATCATCTTCTCTCAAATGCAAGCAGCAGCAGGAGCTACTATTGACTGAGCATCTCCTATACATGGGATGCTCTTCTAGAAGTTTTGCATATATATCACTAAATGCATCTAACTCTGCTGAGTAGATGTTATTGTAAAATCCCAAAATACATCTAAGATCTCTCTTCCCTCCCTGTACACTGCTTCCATCTTAATCCAAGCTGCCATCATTTTCTCACCACAAATACTACAACCTCCTCCTGCCTGGGCATCTGCTTTCAATCTTGTCCCATCCAATCTATTCTCTACATGGTAATCCCTATGCAAGGAAATTTCTGAAAAGCAGAAAGAGGTTTGCTTAAAGCTCATCAGTAGCTTCCATTCCTCTTGGAATAAAAGCTAGAGTCTTTCCCACACCCTGCAAAGCCCTGCCCGATGCAACTCCTGCTTCTATCCCACTTCATGCTGTGCCCCTCTCTCCCTTACCCACCATGCTCACACCACACTGGCTCCCTCCTACTTTGGGAGCATGCGGTCTTATGCCTACATTAGGGCCATCGAATAGGTTCCTTCTGCATAGAATGTTTGCTCTGACTCCCTTGTCTTCCAAAGAGACCACTACTCCTGTCCTCCAGCAATACAGACATCTTACAGCTAGTAATTCCATGAGCCACCTTCTTCTCTAACATCAGAGCTTAGCTTATTAGAATTAGTGTAGATGTTGGCAAACCCCAGTCTCTTCATTCCAGGCAAATACGGCCCTTTACAGGAAAATGTTTGCCAAGCCTTGAAGGAAGCCTAAAAGTAAGTGGCAAATACCCATCATCTTCTCTCAAATGCAAGCAGCAGCAGGAGCTACTATTGACTGAGCATCTCCTATACATGGGATGCTCTTCTAGAAGTTTTGCATATATATCACTAAATGCATCTAACTCTGCTGAGTAGATGTTATTGTAAAATCCCAAAATACATCTAAGATCTCTCTTCCCTCCCTGTACACTGCTTCCATCTTAATCCAAGCTGCCATCATTTTCTCACCACAAATACTACAACCTCCTCCTGCCTGGGCATCTGCTTTCAATCTTGTCCCATCCAATCTATTCTCTACATGGTAATCCCTATGCAAGGAAATTTCTGAAAAGCAGAAAGAGGTTTGCTTAAAGCTCATCAGTAGCTTCCATTCCTCTTGGAATAAAAGCTAGAGTCTTTCCCACACCCTGCAAAGCCCTGCCCGATGCAACTCCTGCTTCTATCCCACTTCATGCTGTGCCCCTCTCTCCCTTACCCACCATGCTCACACCACACTGGCTCCCTCCTACTTTGGGAGCATGCGGTCTTATGCCTACATTAGGGCCATCGAATAGGTTCCTTCTGCATAGAATGTTTGCTCTGACTCCCTTGAACACTTCAGGGCTGGGTGAAATATCACCTCTACAGAGAAGCCTCCTTCTTCTCCAGCTAAGTAGCCACCCACTTCCTCTCCATTTGCCCTATTTGTTTCCTTCATCAAACTTACCATACTTAGCAAGGACTCATCATAGAGTAATTATTTTTGTCTGGTTCCCCCATTGGACTGCAAGCACCTCAAGGACAAGGGCTTCATCTTTTACAGTCCTCCAAGTACCCGCAGTGCTTAGCACAATGCCCAGTATTTAGCCACTTTGTAAGAAATATTTCTTGGATGAACAAAGAAATCGATCTTAAATATATCAAATAAGTTAATTAACTTGCCTGAGATCAAGGAATTGTAACAACTATTACAGAAATCTCTCTCAGAGGGAAAAGAACATTCTGCTAGGGTTTGTATAACAATCTCTCTCTGTCTCAAAAAATAAAATAAAATCATGCTTATCCTGAAGACCTTAAATGACTAATTGCCCTGAATCTTCTTTGCTTCACACATAACCTAAGCCACAGTCGTGACTGTACATGTCCTAAGCACATCCAGCTGGTATCTTGAGTCTGGGAGGATTTTGCAACAGTGGAAATCCTTAAATTATTCAAATGTGCTTGTCACAAAACATTTCTCTTAAGTGATTTCCATTCTGCCCAGTAGGAAGCCCCTGCATTTTATCAAGTTGCAATCCAGTTGGGCCGCTGTGAGACTTCCCTGTGGCCAAGAGGGTTGCGGCCCCGATCACATCAGCAGGTCCCTCCTATTGCCATCTTGGGTATTGTGTGGAACTTCTGATGAATAGACCCACCAGCAGTTTCTCACCTGCACAGCTCTGCTGAGGCTCCCAGTGGACGCTGACACCCTCTCTTTGGCAGGCCCTGGTATATGCCAGGAATGACTCACAGTAACAGTTTTTATGGACTGGACATTCACACATGTCTGTCACGCAGGACCTAAGGAGCCCAACAGAAAGAAATTAACATTTTAAAAGGTGAAATTATCAAACGACCTAAATGTGATTTGCAGAATGCAGTGGGGCGGGTGGGTGGATGTTGAACTTTGGCCATTAAAAGTAGTTATTTGGGGTTGGAGACGTAAAAGTTGTATAAAAACTATGCATGCAAACTTACTGGATACCTCCAGACACTGATATTAGGTTCCCTTCCTTCTAGAGCATGTCTAACCAATAGGATTTTCTGCAGTGATAGAAATGTTCTACAGTCTCCACTGTCCAAATCAATAGCCACTATTCAAATCTGGCTCCTGAGCACTTGGAATGTAACTACTGTGACTGAGTAACCACATTTTGTATTTGACTTAATTTTAATTAACTCAGATGTAAATTGTCACGTATGCATAGAGGTTCCAACGTTGGAAAGACAGCTCTTAGAATATAGCGGGTCAAAGTGCTGCCATTTGCAAACAGCAACAGTGATGTAAGAATAATGGGTTCTACTATAATACAATCAAAATAGTTACCAACTTGATGAAAGATAAATCCATGGCTTTCTGAAGAAATACTACTGGGATTCCCTTTGGCAACACCTTAGAATCTTAGTCCTTTGAGGAACACCTAACCTCATTCTTTAGAATGCGGGGTGACAAATTCCAAAAGAGCAAAACTTTCAGGCCTCTAATTCGAACAGGAACACAAAGTGAATTGAGCCGAAGTCTTTGTAGCTTAAGTTTAAATATGGAAATGATGGCCCAGGACAGAAAGAGAAATGTACATTATACAAACTAACAAATTTTCAAACATATTGATTGTCAAAGATATAGTAAGGACCTTACACTAGTATATAATATCACAGTTTATAAAGTGCTTTCACAACCTGCAGTCTGTCACTGAGTGTTAAATAGGACATTGCACAGTCCCTGTTTTGTAAAAGAAGAGGTCATTTTTTACAGACGAACAGATGGACTCAAAGTCACATTAATAAGCAGTAAAAGAGTAAATTAAAGTATATCTCCCGAGACTAGTACACTTTTTGTCATACCACATGACCACCCTCATCTTCATCTTACAGCAAATTCACTGCCTAACAATTTTGACTTAACATTTATGCAAGAGGCCCCCATGATTAATAAAACTAAATGGCCCTTATTTTTTTCATACTCTTGTTCAGCAAAACCGTTCCTTAACAGAATATAACTCAAGGCTGAAAGCAGAGAAAACAATATTCAAGATTATAAATAACTCAGATGTTCTCGAAAAGTGATCAGGAGGACATGGTCATCCAATGTTGATATGCCAGCATTTTCTCTTGGTGCTGGGCTGCCTACACACCTGATTACAAGGAGTGACCGGTTAGCTCCGTGTAGAAGCTGGTGTACTGCCTGCTCTGAACAAGATTTAAACCACAGAAACCATAGTAAAGGATCAATAAACTCACCACATACCTACAAAGTTATTACAACCCAACATGCAATGGCACAGCCTTGGGAAATATGAACAGGGACAGAGGAGGGACAGATCTGAAACCTAAAATGCCTCTTCCATTTCACCGAGTGAGAGATTATTCGATGACTGATACTTAAGACGCAATAAACAGGACAGAAAACTACCCTCTCTCTTCTCTGGAACAATAAAGGCTATATTTCTTCATACCTTCTCCCATTTGCATTACAGAAATCCTGGGAAATCATATCCACTAGCAAACCCTTTCCAGTATGAGACACACAGAGCTGTGGCTTTAAATTTGTGTGGTGCCTCTGGGCTTCCAAGAAAAAACAAATGAAGCTTGTCCTTAAAAGGGCCTCTAAACGTCTAAGTATAAACCTTCCTCAACACCATTTCCTTTGTTGTTTCAGTCCTCACTTCAGACTAACCCACACCTGTTGCGTTCCTGCTCGGACTTCACAGCATCTTTGGCCGCCCCGACCCAGTCCTGCTTTCCCTTCACTTCCGTCACAGGCTTCATCACGCTTCATCTTTCCTGGCCCCTGGGGTGTGGTCTCTTCTCCTCGCACACAGCTCCCATGGCCACGACCTGGACAGAGTGCCACCCGATGGGCCTGGGACAATGACAGCACTTGCACAGAAAAGAGGTGGTCTCAACATAAGGAAATGCATCCTCTGATTTAAAAGAACATCTCATGGGGTTTATTAAAATTGTGTGCACAGCAAACAAAATTTAATTTGTTAGTGACTGTTTCCTTTTTTCTCTTTATTTCAACTGGCTGTCTCATGAAGCTACTTATACAATCTAAACATAATTATGGACAGCTAAATCCAATTCATTGAGACTGTTGAGAGAAAATAGCAGTTTTAGGTACACATTTAATAATTGCTATGTACATACACTCCATCCCAGAAACAGACCACTCTGTGCCCTCAGACACAACCAATAATATATCTACCCTTTAAAACTAAGGAAGATTTGAGTTCATACTATTTATTTGGCACTCATGAGGAAGAACATTTGAGGTAAAACGTTTTGTCAAAGCCACCCTTTGCTTGAAATGTTTCATATATTATTAAAAGCTTGAAAGATGTGTTTTGTCACAGAAGTTAAAACTACAAGATGTCTTTTTTTTTTTCCACTTGTCAAATTGTTGATTTTTACACAACACTGTGCCCAGGGTCTGTGAGAGGATAGAGAAATAGATGGTCTAAGAAGCAAAAAACTGTCAGATCTCGTCAAGCATTTTGCTATACCCAGCTTTTACACAGAACACCGTGTTTACACCACGCAGCAGGGGGCTATGAGGCAAGTCCTACTATAGGGCACTTCACTAAAAATAGGGAACCTGAAGCTTGGACGTGTGAACAGCTTGCCGAGGTCACGTAGCTGATGACAGGTCCAGAACTGCACAACCGGGACCAAAACTCAGGTCTTACTAGTCTCAACACCCATATTCATAAAAATTATATTAGAAGATCCTTCTGGAGAGCAATTTGGCAATATTTATAAATTGCCTTAATAAAGGCTCTTATCCTTTGAGAGGAAAATCCTACACTAAGCAAATAGTAATGAATGTGGACAAAGACTTTAACTGTAGAGGTTTTCATCACAATGCTATTGGAAATGAAAAAAGAAAAGGAAATAACTAAAATGCCTTATTGGGCCTAGTGAAATAAATCTAGATGACCTCCACAATGGAATATTCTATAGACATTACAATGATGGTTGGGAAATATATTTTAAAACAGGAGGAAATGTTCAGGAAGGATTAATTGAAAAAGCACAAAACTGTGTTCCAGTGTTGTGTGGCCATACACAGGACATAAACAGATATTTTTAACAGTCAGCTCTGGGCAGTGGAACTGTGTGTGGCTCTCTGTATTTTGTTCTCATCTGTGTTTTCTACAGTGAACACGATGCTTTCCTAAAAAATTGAATTGAATCACGGAGTCGTTTTAAAACAATAACATGGGACATATTAGTATTTCAATCAGAATTTAGGAACTTGAGTGAGAAAGAATAAAGAATGGGAGAAAATTAGAGGACCCCTTGTAGATCTTAGTTATTAAATATTTTTCCAGCTAAAATCTTTCCATTCTGTGTATCAGAGGCCTTCTGACAAAGGCTTTGATTTGATTCACTTTGTGTTGCCTGCAGACTTCCACTTCATTGGTCTACTGATGCTGGGCACTTGACATCGAGGAGATGGAATGGATAATGGAATAATTCGGCATGCTTCTGCTGGCTACAAGGGAATTTATCAAGAGAAAAATAAAAGCATTCCGAAATGCCCTTCACATTTCAGGAAGGAGCAGAACTATTGTTATCCAAATGTTCAATTTGTGTCTCTCTCACTTAATAATTCCGTATGAGGAAAATCTAATTTATGACACAGTGGAGATTAATTTTTATATATTAATGGAAGACTTCTGTCCTTTCCTTAGTAAATATGCACTAATACTAATACATGTATATTTACTTTATAGAATAAGTAGCAGGACTTTACCGCTTTTGGTAGTTACTGAGATTTATGGCCTTGGCTTCTCTGCTTTCATGTTATCATTCTGTCACGGTTGTGTTCTGCCTGATGAAGAGTTCCCTGGCAGAAGACACAGCTGCCCCTTGCTCCAGTGGGAGAACACAGGCTGCATTACAATTGGGCTTTTCCAGGAGAGCCCTACAAGTAAAGGGCTTCTGCCTATTGCAATCCCTTTCCATCATGGGAGCTTATTAATGTACCTAGCAATGATTTTCTGATCTATCCACTCTGCTCCTAGCGTCCTTCCTGACAGCAGAGAGTTGCAGGCAGGACTCCTGTCCCTTGGGGTTCACACAGCTGCTCAGCGCAGTGACAGGGAGGCTGCCGGGAGCTACTGCAGGGTCCCAGTGAGCGGGCAGCAGGCTGCACAGTGTCTTGTTGCATGCCAACCGCCTCCTGCTTTCATAGCTCTGTACGTGTGTCATGTCCCCGTAAGACTCTTTGAAGGTCTTTTCTCACAGCACCCAGCACAGTATTGGTATCAGAAATGACCTATGTGGTCCATTCACTCCCTGAAATCCAATTTAGTGCGATTTATGAGCAGGGAAGCCCTCATCATCTCTCTCCCCCTTATCAAGTTATAACCACTGCCTCCTGCAAAGATCTAAGATAGAAGCCAAATGGAGCTACTTATATGGCAATTTAATTACAATGAAATAAAATTTTAAATTCAGTTCCTTAGTCACACTAGCCACATTTCAAGTGTTCAATGGCCACATGTGGCTAGTGGCCATCATACAGGACAATTATGATACCGATTTGTACCAGTTCCATCATCACAGGAAGTCCTACTGGATGGCAGCATCCAGAGTGTGCCCCCATCTGTGTTGGGAAAGCATTCCTGTTCTCTCCAGAGGGATTTATGGGTACAGTGAGATTAAGATCAAGCTCAATCCTGCAAGAAAGATCCTAGCCATCTAGATCACCCCCCTTGCTTCCCCCTCGCTCTTTTATCCAGTCATTAACCCTCAGGCTTCCGTCCACCCTGCTCTTCCTGCCTTCATATGCT